CAACCCACCCTGAGCCGCCTTCCGCCCAGGCGGCCCCCACGCGCTTCCGGTGGTGGCCCTGTCCCTGCCGAGCGTCGCCCGGGCCCGAGTTTCCCTGCTCTCCCCCGCTTCCTCCCGCAGTTTCCCTTTTCCCGACTCAGGAACGCTGGCCGCTCAGGAACGGGTCGGAGCTGCCGCCGTTCTTCCCGGACCTGGAGCGAGGCCCTGGCCGAGAGGAAAGAGGTGACGGGACTCAGCGAAACATTCGGGAAGATTCTCACAGTGCTCTTCTCGAGGTGGCTGACAACAGAGGAGGCCGCCCCGATGCCATCCCCACAGTAGCTCGTGGTGCGCGATAATCCAAGCCTGGGTGATGGGTGAACTGTTGTTCCACGCTAATGGTGCTCACGACTAAGAGTTTCTTGTGGGTTTTTTTGGTTTTGAGACAGGGCATTGCTATGCATCCCCAGCCAGGTTGGAACTCTTGTAGACCATGCTGGTCTAGAACTCAACAGATCCACCCGCCTAAGCCTCTTGGGTGTTGGGATTAAGGGCGTGTGCCACCACACCCAGCCAGATAAGACCTTTACATTTATGTCCTTAAACTGTTCCCTTTGCTGATTTTTTTTTTAACTGACCTTAAAGGGAATGTCAATGACCTGGACAACAGAGTTAAAAGAATTGTGGGGTAAGGTTAGGAGAAAAGCAGAGTAAGGGTGCCCCAGAGAACCCTGGTGAAGTTGAAAGATCAGGAAAATCTGATAGCTGGGGGATGAATGAAGAGACGTGAGATGGAAGAAAGATTACTGGTGCTCCCTAACATAAGAAAAAAAGGGGGGGTTGCTGGAGAGATGGCTCTGTGGTTAAGAGCACTGGATGCTCTTCCGGAGGACCTGGGTTCAGTTCCCAGCATCCACATGGCATCTCACAACTGTCTGTAACTCCAGTTCCAGGGGATCTGGCATCCTCACACAGACATACATGTAGTCAAAACATCAATGCATATAAAAATAAATAAATTAAAAAAAAAAAAACTGGGTACCTGCCTGCGCTTGGAAGGTTGAAGCAGGAGGATCAGAAATTGTTACGGAGCCAGGTGGAGGCCAGCCTGGAGTACAGTGAGACTGAAAAAACAAAAATACAGTGAGTGACCATACAGTGTCATCTGGCTGAAACACACAACTCAGATTTCATTGATAAGGTTTGTGGAAGCCCTTTTTAATATTGTTCCCACCTAAGGCCTCTTTTCATGCATTCATTCTGAGAGCGTTGCACTTACATGAATTTTAAAGTGTCAGGTCCATGGGCAAAAATTTCCTACTCTATACAGTCTTGAGTTCTCACTTGCACGCTAGGATCTTCCTTCACCCGTTTTAATTCAAATGCCTTCGTAAGCTTAGGTCATAGCTCAATGATAAACTCTTGTCTAGACTATGTTAGGCCCTGACCTCCCATCCCCAATGCATGAAAACAGAACAAAAAACTAAGCTCTTAATCCTTACCCAAGAGCTAGCTGAAAGCCTAAACTGAGTAAGGTCTATGTATGTAATAAATACCTGAGCTTCAGTAAATGGAATGTTTACAGCTGACTGAAAGAATGTTTAAAAACCAGGCGGTGGTGGCACACGCCTTTAATCCAGCAATCGGGAGGCAGAGGCAGGAGGATCTCTGTGAGTTCGAGGGCAGCCTGGTCTACAGAGTGAGTTCCAGGAAAGGCGCAAAGCTACACAGAGAAACCCTGTCTCGAAAAACCAAAAAAAAGAAAAAGAATGATTAAAAACAGAGTCACTGTGCTGTTTCTTAGTCAAGCACTTCTACTGCTTTGACGCCACACCACGGCCAAGACAACTGTTACAAAAGAAGGCATTTAATTGGGAGATTACTTCCAGTTTCAGAAGTTTAGTCCATGATCATCATGGTAGGGGGCAGGCACTGGAGCAATAGCTGAGAGTTACATCCTGATCCTTAGGCAGAGAGAGAGAGACTCTAGGCTTGGAATGGGCTTTTGAAACCTCAAAACCAACCCCACCCCAGTGACACTTTTCCCCCAACAAGGCCACACCTCCTAATGCTAATCCTTTCAAATAGTGTCACTCCTAGTGACTAAGCATTCAAATACATGAGCCTAGGGGCTATTCAAACCACCACATTCTACTTACTGGCCTCAGGTTTGTAGCCATTTTATAGTGCAAAAATGCATTCAGTCCAACTACAAAAGTCTCTGTAGTCAGTCATAGTCTCAACATTGTTTAAAAGTCCAAAATTCAAAGTCTCTTCATGTAATCTCTAAACTGTAATTCCCTGTAAAAATAAAAATAAACAGAGCACATACTTCCAACATATAATGGCACAATATTTGCATTACCATTCTAAAGGGAGGATAGTGAGGAAATACTGGACCAACAAAATGAAAACCAACAGGGCAAACTCCAAACTCTGCATCTCCACATCTGATGTCAAAGCACCCTTCGAATCTCCCAATTCCTTTCATCTTTGTTGATTACAACATACTTCACTCTCTTGGGCAGTTTCTATATGCTGTTAGCAGCTCTCCTTGGCAGGTATCCCATGACTGGTATCTCTAACACCTTGAGGTTTCCAAGGCATTCCAGGTTTCAACTTCACAGCTTCACACAATGGCCTCTGTGGGCCTCCATTCAGGGACACCCCTAACATGCCTGATCTCACCAGCTTTCCTTAGCCTCAGGGAGATTCCACAACCACTTTCTTGTGTCCTTGACTCTAAAGCCAGAACCACATGGCAGAAGCTGCCAAACTCTGCTGTTTGCTGGAGCTGTAATCCCGTCCCTCCCCAATTAAATTCTCACCACCTTTCTGTTGGTGGTGGTTTCCTTTACTGATGAAGCTTTTTCTTTAACTCCTTTCCACAAGTTGGAAGCTTAGCTGGTGAGGTGTTGCTCTGAGGTCACCACTCCCTTTATTTCATTTAACATCATGCTTTTCTTTAAACTCCTGATCTCCCTGAGCACTATACTTAGCTCTATTACACTTCCAGGTGCTCCTTTTCTCCCCAAACTACATTTGTATTTCTTTGTCCAGCTTGCTCCTTTTCATCATTATTGATCTGCATAAGAATAATTACTAATAACCACAGGACAGAGTCAATACTAGGTTATCTTGAAATCTCCTCTGCCAAAGCCATTAATCCAAAACTCTTCAATTTAGCCTCAGGCAGATTTTTATAATGAGGACAAAAAGCAGTCACATTCTTTGTCAAAATATGGCAAGAATGGTCTCTAGGCCACTTGCTAATATTCTTCCCCTCTGAAACTGCTTGAGCTGGGCCATGATAATCTATGTTGCTCTCAACACCATTTCCTTCCATGTTCCCAATAGGATGGCCCAGTAAGCCCTACTTAAAGCATTCAACTGCTTCCCTAATCCAAAGTCTATATTCGGCCAATAAGCAGCATGGTCAGGCCTATTGCAGCAATACCCCACTCCTGGTACCAATTTCTGTCTTTGTCAGTGGGCTTTTTCTGTGAAGAGATACTTAGGCCAAGACAACTATTATAAGAGAAAGCATTTGATTAGGAGCTTGCTTATACTTTCAGAAGTTTAGTCCGTGATCATCATGGCAGGGAACAAGGCAGCATGCAGGCAGTGCTGGAGCAATAGCTGAGAGCTACATCATGGTCCATAGGCACAGAGAGAGACTATGGGCTTGAAACTTCAAAGCCACCCCCAGTGACACGTTTCTTCCAACAAGGCCTCCTAATCCTAATCCTCCTAATCTTTTCAAATAGTGCTACTCCCTAGTGACTAAGCATTCAAGTATGTGAGCTTATAGGAGTCATTCTATTTTTCTTTTTGTATTTGTTGTTTTTTGTTTTGTTTTTGTTTTTGGAGACAGGATTTCTCTATGTACCAGCCCTAGCTGTTGTGGAACTCACTCTGTAGATCAGGCTACCTTGAACTCACAGAGATTTGCCTGCCTCTGCCTCCCAAGTGCTGGCATTAAAGGTGTGTGCCACCACCACCACCACCACCACCACCACCACCACCACCACCACCCAGCTATGGGAGTCATTCCTATTCAAACTACCACAAGCTGTAAACAACTAAGATGCCTCAGTAATTCACTTCCATTTTGCTGCACCTGATAGTGTTACTGCTTCCAAGTCCTGATAATTACGAAGAAAATTAAGATGTGGTTCTGGCCCATGCTTGTATGCCAGCACTTGGGAGGCAGTAAGAGTCTCTCCAGCCTTCGCTCACCTGTGCTTCATAATAAGATCCTTGGTTTTGTTGTGTGGAGTTTTTTTTTTTTTTGGTTGGTTGGTTTTTTGTTTGTTTGTTTGTTTGTTTGTTTGTGAGTTTTGTTGTTGTCTTAAAGTTCTAGTCAGTAATTGGAGTAATGCTGGACATGGGATTCCAGCTCCAGCTGCCTTTGGGCATTTCCATGCTTGGCCTTTTAGATCAAGTGTGCCTTATCATTGGCTGGTTAGGGAAATTGGGAGAATTCAATGATTAGAAATGAGAGAACTCAGCCAGGTGGTGGTGGCAAACGCTTTTAATTCCAGCACTCTGGAGGCAGAGCCAGGGGGATCTCTGTGAGTTCAAGGCCAGCCTGGTCTAAAAAGTGAGATCCAGGACAGGCACCAAAACTACAAAGAGAAACCTGTCTCAAAAAACCAAGGGGGAAAAAAAGAAAGAAATAAAAGAAATGAGAAAACTCTTAGGTAGAAAATATTTTGCTAAGGTTGAGAAGCCAACCTTATTACTAGGCCTCATGAACAGAAATGACAAAAAATCAGAATTGCCTTTGCCAGTACCTTTCTTCTAGTACTTAGATATTTTGAGTCTCATGTTAATTGGCACTAAAAACCCCAGAATGGGAGTTATCTCCCTGGAGCAGATTATTCAGAATACCAGAGTTCCTGCCTTTCCTTACCCGTGCATTCATGTGCATTTGAAAACTGGAAGTCATATTGGGTGGAAAATGCATGGTGGGGACTTCTGGGAGGAAGGAATTGGATCATGCCCACCCCCTAACTGAAGCCTAGTATGTTTTTGCACTGGACAGGCCTGGGCTGCATTTGCCCACATAGAAGTGGGAGAAAGCAGTGACTGTGAGAATGATGTGGAGCATCCAGGAGTAGACTAGGATTCAAGATCTCAATCAGGAAGAAACATTGCCAGTGAAGCTTGTATGCTGGGGGAAACAGCCTATGTACACACTGGAAATCTGGGTACCTGGAAGGAACAGCTCTGAGCTATCACAGGATTGCCTGAAGACTGAACTGCATAACAACAACAAAATCTCCCTTGCACTTGGGAACAAGAAATTGGTGGTTTCCCATTACCCATAACTGAGTTAAATTAAG